CGACAGGACCTTCCCTGCACGGGAGAGGGGCCTCCATCACACGCTGCCCAAGCCTCGCTGCCAGGGGGGTGCTTTTGAGGGGAGAGGGGCTGCTCACCTGGCCGGGGGGCAGCAGGCAGCTCCACCTCGGGGCCCTGCTGGGAGGCCTGCAGCAGGATCTCCCGGACCTGCAGACATGACACAGGAATGTCAGCATCCCCCAAAACACCAGCCAACCCTCCCCTCACCTTCCCACGCCACAGCTCTCCCTGGGACGTGGAGGGGCACAGGCGTCCTCACAGGAGCATCTCCTGGAGCCCTGCCCCATCCATGCCATCGACCCCACAGAAATGCTCCCAGTGGGTTTGTCCTGCTGCACCATGCACCTTCTGGCTCCGAGTCAGGTCGAGGGGCGTGTGGCAACGGCGCTGCCTGTGCCCTGCCTGCCCGTGCCCCTGCGCTGGGGGCTCGGGGTTGGTGCTGCGCTCCGTGGCCGGGGACGGCTCCCCCAGCTCCATGGCCAGGTCCTGCTCCTCGGGGTCAGCGTCGGTGTCACTACTGGCCTCCGAGGAGGACGGGCTCACTGGCTCGTCATTCTCGCACAGCACGTCTGCCCCTGTCAGAAAACAGTGGACTGAACCCCCAAAAGGGAAGGTCGGCCCAGGGGTCTGCCCTGTGCCTGGGCACCACCCCCAGGCACAGGCAGCTGGGGCTGCAGGGAGAGGAAGAGAGAGGAGGGAGGTAGTGCCTTACCAGCTTTTAGGAGCAGTTTGGTGAGGGTGGGGGAGCCCAGGCCAGCAGCCAGGTGCAGGGGGGTGTTCCCAGCGAAAGTCCGGCTGTGGACGTCTGCTCCCAGCTATGGAGAAAGGCAAGAGGCCATGAGGATGGGCTGCCTGGGTGCTGTGCCCCCCTGCCCCATCACCCCAAGACCACAGGGGACCCCCCACTTCTGCCAGGGCCCTGTAGGAGGCTATGCCCCATCCCACAGCTCCCACCCACCAGCTCCCCTGTACCTTCTTCACCAGGTGGGTGGCCATGTTCAGATTCTCCATCTCCACAGCCAGGTGCAGTGGGGTCCTCCCACCCTGCCTCTCGACTGCATTCACATCTGCTCCTTTCCTGACCAGCAGGTCCAGGCAGGCCAAACTCTTTGCCTTGACAGCCAAGTGCACAGGCAGGAGGCCTGCAACAGGGGAAGAGGCTCAGCAGCCCTCTGGCCAAGCCCACAACGGCACTGACAGGTTCCTGCTCCTTGTTTCCCAGCCCCACTCACCATGGAAATTGGGCAGGCGGAGCAGGTAAGGGGCAGCCGAGCCCAGGTGGGCCAGCAGCGTCCTCAGCATCTCTTCATCACCAGCCTGGAGTGCCAGGTGCAGCAGGGAATTGCCATAGCGGTCCAGCAAGGTGGGATCAGCACGGGCTTGCAGTAGGAGCTGGACCACTTGGGGCTGCTTGGTGATGACTGCCAGATGCAGTGGTGTCTGCGAGACAGCAGCACCCATGTCAGCAGCGCTTGCAAGAGGAGCCGAGTCCTGCACCACCGTCCTTGCTAGGGTGGCTGCACTGTGCTCATCCCTGCAGCCTCCCCTCAGCGGAAGCAGCAACAAGAGCCCCTGGGGTCAGGAAACGGGAGTGAGCCCCAGGTAAAGGAGAACCAGCTGCTCTGGTAAACATGTACCTGCTGGAGGTTGTTGGAGATGTTGATGATCTGCTGGCTGGGGATGCTAACAACGACCTCGATCAGCTGCTTGATCACAGCCGTCTGCTCATGGATAATGGCGAGGTGCAAAGGCCTGCAGAGAGAGCAGGATGGCCCCTGGCTCAGCTCCATGCTTCTCCAGGTCCTCCCTGCCACTTCCCACCCCCCAGAGCCCCCAGAATGGCTCCAATGGCCAACAAGACTCCCATGCTCTCCCCCCAAACCGTGCTCACGTGTCTCCATTCTCGTCCTGCGATGCGGCCAGGTGCCTCTGGACTGCTAGCAGCATGCGGGGGTCGGCAGTGACTGAGTAGTCAAGCAGAGCATGGGCATGGCGATGGGTCAGCGCCCGCATCCACAGCTGGCAGAGCTGGGCTGGGGGACAAAGCAGGATGTCACCTCCAGGAGCAGCAGCCCCATCCAACCCCCTGCATCCACCCTGGGCATGGAAGAGAGTGGGACCCAGCCCCGAAAGGTTCCCAACCGGTGCCACCTCTCCCAATTGATGTCCCCCAGCCCTCGTGCCAGCCCAGCTCCCTCCTACCGTGCTTCTGCAGCTCCTTGCAGTACGTGCTCTCTGCAGGTGCCTGCCTGTCGCTCCCGGGCCCCTCCACCTCGGGGCCTTTCATCTGCACACCCCCCTGGTAGCCCCCCACGGGGTGGGGGCCGGGCGAATAGATGCTGTTGTAGGCCAGCCCCGGGGAGTAGGGGAAGCTGAGGTTCCCACCTGCGGAGCAAAGGGGAGGATGGGTGAGATCGGAGGGGAGTGTGGAGCCCCCAGGGCCAGGCCGCAGCTGCCCAAGCTGGGAGCGGGGAAGAGGCACCCCCACTCACCTCCTCCAGAGCCGAAGCCCCCGGCGCCCCCGCCAGCACCCCCCATGTGCGAGCCCCCGCCAAAGTGCTGGGGAAACTGAGGCAGGACTTTCTTGCGCTTCCTTTCTACTTCTTCTTTATCTGCAGGGAGAGAGGGGCAGCAGGGTGAGGGGCAGCCCCAGCAACAGCGTGCACGCCAGCCTGCCCAGGGGGGTGCTCACCTTCCACCACGGGG